ATATCCCCAAACATTCAAAGAGAATTTCTCCTGAATTCTCTTCACACCAAGTCCAAAGATTACTCCAAAACACCTCTGCTTCCTAGAAACAATGGGAAGCTTTCTGTCCACTCCTTTTGATCCACCTAACCCCTTGTTGTTGGCCGGACCTCAAGGCTCCATCCACTTCCTTTGTAATAACACCTTGTTCAGTGACAAAAGGTTCATAAACATGTCCTCCAACATCACTGAATCATGGAGCAGCAGCGCCACATAGTGATGACTGCAGGTACAACTATGGTATTGTGAGAGGCACAACCTCTTTCCTCCACAAGTCTACCATATTTAAACACACACTCAGGACTATAACTTTGCGTTGTATTTTTCTTGAATACTTTTCCAGTTGCTTATTTTGCTCTATTGTTGGACCTGGCAGGTACAACTATGGTATTGTGAGAGGCACAACCTCTTTCCTCCACAAGTCTACCATATTTAAACACACACTCAGGACTATAACTTTGCGTTGTATTTTTCTTGAATACTTTTCCAGTTGCTTATTTTGCTCTATTGTTGGACCTGGGGTCCGTTTCTTGAAGCGAACTTAGTGTTAATTAACTCCGTATTGGAGGGAACAACTTTCCAGTTTCACAAAGCTAGACTGTGATGCTGACTCGGTTGCTATGGCTACATATGCCGTAGAGTAAAACTGCTCCGGGGCAGTTTCAAAGTCCTTAAGTCCAAGTTAAGGAGTCAGTCCGCATTCATATGCAGGGCGTGGCAGTTTGTTGAGGAGCCTGCAGACATCGCAGCTCAGTTGCTTAGAAGAAATTGATGGGTGTGCCAAGGTGGGCGGGGCATTGGTGTTGTGCTGAAACGCACGCTTCCAGCAGTGCTGTGTGAAGAAGAGTGCAAGTTTGACATTGGTACATCACTACTGCAACACGTCAGCAAAGAGACTTATGAATAAATAAAAACAGTATTTAAATCAGTAGTTGACAGTAGTTAAATTATAATTTCATACAGAAAACTGCCGTGTGTCATTTGAATGTCATTTTCCTAATAGTCCACAGACCACAGCAGAATTATTCAGACATATGAAGAGACAACTAATGTCTGGGAAGATGATCAGACTGATCTATTATCTTCAATAGGGGGCAGTTATTCTTCCCTGTTTGAACGATATTTTTGTATTTGGTCTTAATTTGCTGCCAAGTCCTTTTTATACCTGTTTAACCTGGATTAAAATTTAAAATGGTCAAGTGTGCGCACAGCGAGAGATATACTGTATATTGATAATTTTACACACTTAGGCTGAACAGTTCTGTAATTAATAACTTTCTCATCAATACTCACACATTCACTCTATCTGTAATTTGTTATCAAGCCTTTTCACTGTTTTCTGCGGCTGTGATGCTGTTGCCCTTTTTATTTTACGTGTCGTGATCGTTATAGACATGCAACAGTATTTCTTGCTCCACCGGAGTGAAGCAAAAGGCGCAGGACATGACATGGTTCATGTAATCTGCACTCAATTGAGAGAGCCTTCATATGTAGTCGGACACGAGCGCCCCTCAGTCTTAACTCAACTTAGACTTCCGAGAGCTAATTGTAATCCACTTTTGTGAAACCGGTAAGTCAGAGATGGACCTCTCCGGCTTCCGGAAGCCAGAACTGTAGCATTAACTTGGTCTTTCGTGAGCCATCTTCAAGAAACAGACCCCAGGTCCTATCACACTGAGGGCTATTAAACGGAGACAGTGGGACGCAAGGGAAGGAATAGAACCGCTGCTGAGGAACTGATGAAGCTCACTGGCAATGTCAGGATGAAGTAACATGGCACAATGTAGCTCGTAGTGGATAGTCATATCACCAAGAGGTGACACTGTAAGAACATTGGCATAAATACACAGTATTTATTTATATGAGTACTGTGTATATAACACATCCTTCAGAATTAAGTTCAGAGTACTCATGGCCCAGAGAAAGAAGTTGTTTTTCAGTCAGTTTGTCCTGTTTTTAGCCACTGATATCCCCACTTGTAGGGCATGAGGGGAAACAGGTGATGTCATAGGTCTGAGCATTTAGCAGAATTGTCCTTGCTTTCCTTGCTGAGGTCTTCTAGAGAGGATAAGGGACAGTTAATTAAGTTTTGGGCCATCTGGTCTGTCTGCTCTTGAACACTGTGGAGGATGGCCCTCAGGAAAAGAAATCTAGGATTTTTTTTCAGATGTGTCTGTCCCCACAATGTTAAAAACATCTGCTAAATACAGCCCCTAAAGAAAGGGTAACTTGTTTCCCCCCTGGCTGTAAAACTCTCTAATGTTAAGTAATGTTCAGCACTTCATTGATTGGTCTCTTCTGCTAATGAGGGCTAATGACTGTGGTTTCATCTGCAAAACGGATAATTGCGAATTGGATCATTGTGTAGAAGGGCAGTTGCACTTTTACAGGGCATAAAGAGAGCTTGGCACACAACTAAAGAAGAGCTAGTGCTGACTGTTAGGGTCAAAATGAAGAGTGCCAACGTTATTTATAGGGGTTCGTATCTGAACAGTTTTTCCTTCACCATCAGGTAAGAAAAGGGAGACTCAGAGGCTTCTACGAATCTGTACCTTATTATTTTAAAAAAAAGTAAAAGTGGAGACTTGGTCTGTTATCCACACTAACTTCCTGAAAACTATAAAATAGCAGATGAACAGGATTTCACAGGATTCTTTCAAAAACTGAGTATCATTCAGTATGTGAAGTCTAAGATGCACATGGGAGCTGCTGCAAATGTTCCAAGTGTACACATGTAGAACGTGTGATTGCATATTAACCCTTGACCCGCTGCAGACATAAAAATGTGTGTGTGTGATTTGTATGAGTGGAAACCGAAGATATTCCAATGTAAATCGTAGAGACCAGAGCAGAGGAGATCTTTGGATATTATAGTAGCCATACATTTAATTGCCCTATAATGTAATTTAGAGTGTTGAACTGAACAATGCATGTAGCAAGTGTTCTACACTGTTCCAATGCAAAGCAATTAGCTTACAACTGCTAACCAATTCTAACTCAAACATATCTGGCTATTCAAATAGTTTTTTTTAATCTAACAGCAACACAGCAAAGCACTGTTTGATGTAACATCAATGACAGTATAAAAAAAGAACAAATTCAGAACAAAGCTCTTCTGTGTGTCTGTGTATGAGGATGGTGGACATTGTGTCCACTTTGTGCGTTACATCAGACCAAAATCATGTCAGGTTGACAACACACATCCTCAAGCTGCCAGTGGAGGTTTAATGTTTCACACATGAAACAACATTCAGAAATAATAAAGTATGTGTCCAGAGGAGAAGAAAGGAAGAGAAAGAGGAGAAAATAAGACCATGACAAATGATACAGTTAGAAAAACATCAGCGTTATCAACATGTAAATTTCACATGTTTATAGCATTACACAGAAATGTGTTATGTAAGAAAACAAGAGGAATGTTTCATGGATACAAAGAATTAAAAGAAAACAACAGTCACTGACACCAGCGAGGGAAAATTTAGGGAAAAATAGATGGTTAATGGGGTAGAGAGTAAAGACAGTGTCTGTTTACAACAGTTGAAGAAGTAGTGTGCAATGAGAAACAAGTGATGTTAAAATCCAAAGCTCATAACTGTTGACCTATTAGTAACTAACTACCAACCTAGTATGAATGAAGTATCTGGCCAAACACTAAAACTGGCATCCGTATTGGTGTATCCCTACTTGCAACATAATGTCAAATGGGAATTAAGGAGATAACAAATACTGACTTGAGAATTTTTGGCATGACTCTGAAAATCTTCACATCTTTTGAAACTTATTAAAACCATCCATTACTTATTTGTGCTCTGATAACGTACATATTTATCCCTGTGCACATTTGGTTCAGGATTAAACAAAAAGAAATGACTTTTTTTGGAATAGACCATTGAGGAAAAAAAGACTGTCAGGGAACTTTTTCTGTTAGATAGGACTGTAAAATATGCTGTTAATTCATACCCCAGTTTCCTAACACACAATGAATCAAATAAAAATCAAATACGAGATCTCAGTTTTAAAAGTTTTACTTGCAGCAAGGAGTGCGGAACAATGGTTACATTCAGAACTGCACTGAGGAACACCTCAGTGCTCAAAGCTTAAATACAGTTTTTTACACACACACACTTCAATGGTCAGTACCTTGGCATTCCACAGCCATGCGGTGTTCACGCGCCATTTCTGAGCACTGATTGGTAAAGACTGCTCCAAACAAGGATTCTCCACGAATTGGAGCTATGTGCATGTGCTGTAGTTAATCAAGTCAGATAAGACCATGCAGTTCGGATGTTTTTCTCTCTTTGTCTTTTGTTGGTCTTCGGTCGATCTCCTTATTTTGGCAACGAAACCAGTTCTGACTGGTTCTGTGTCCTGTTATGACATATTGTTATGTAATCCACCAGCATGCACACCTGTCTTCCGCACTTTTCCTTTTAGTACAGCACAATAACAGCATTCAATAACAGTATAAATTGATATGGAAACTTAATACAATGAATATATTGTAAAGATTGAATAAATGTATTTACAACATCTTAACAAAGACACCGTGTGACATCATGCCAATATCAGTCTGCTGCTGTGTTATTGTCACACGGCCACTGCCTACGCCTCTGAGGAAACGTTTTGAAAAAGAGAAGATAGAAAAAAGAGACCATAAAATAACCAAATACTTTGTCTGTGTAGTTTTTAGACTAAACTAAGCACAAATTTTCCCATTAACCTTAGCTAAGAGGTTTTCAGGCTTCAGTGGGTAAGAATGAACAACAACATTTTAGGACAGAGGACACCCCTGCTCACCCATCTCTCTGCTAATCAGAGGACCACCATGACCTTTAAGGCAGAGAGAATGTTTTTCTTTACTCTAGTTTGCTTTTTCTGCTTTTTTTTCCATTGAGGCTGCCATGACATATGGTAGCGTATAAGTCTAGATATAAGGCTACAAAAATAAACAGACTAAAGGGTAGATTTCAAATTGTCTTACACACTGGTGCATTTAATTCCTACACACACACATGCAAGACAGACACATCAAAATGTCACAAATATACAAAGAAGTGCCTGAAGGAAAATGAAACAACCAAATTAAATGGAGCTGATTCTTGTTACTGGACGTCAAAAGTTTTCTGTCCTGAAACAAGTTCATTTATGTCCCTCCACGTAAGCTCCAAACCAACAACAAGCACGACATTAACATCTCAAACTTTCACACAAACGCAAAGGAAGAAAAGATTAAATAAGACTGCAGTGAGAAAGTCAGACAGGAACTAAGTCACAACACAAAGGCATCAACATCCTAAATAAGAAAATGGTCAACTGTCATACTAAAAAACATACCACTGATTTTCCACCTTTACATTTTAACTAAATTAAAATGAAATACATAACATAACAGCACCCTATTCATTGCTTCGCCCACTGTTGTTTCTGAAACTTTGTGCAAAGTTGTATTCACACAGTGGATTGTTGACATTTTTAGACACAGATGTTAGTGCCCCTTGTTTTCATAAAAAAGATGTGGGTCTTACAAAGGCCCTGAGGACAGTGATACTGCTCACCAACATTGGCAACAGATGACATGAATTCTGACACAATGCTGGACTGCTGTGGACCATAATCACCTGTCTGTCCTCTTTTCCCTCTGTGGCAGCTCTTGTTCAATATTTAAATTTTAAGCTGACCACAACCTTAAATGCAATGTCTAGGTGTGATTAAAAATTTAATTATGTTTAGAGAAAATTAACTGTGTGTAAAAATGTACTGACATGTAATTTTTAGATAGATGCGTATGGAGAGCAGCCCCCTGTTGGACAGCTGTGGTACTGTATTTGTGTACCCTTTAAAGCATCCTTGAAACATACTGGGAGGACAGCCATCTTTAAAACACAAAGCATAACTGAAACCAAACTACGTGTTTTCGTAAAAATAGAGCATCCATATGCATATGTATTCAGGCCAAGATCTTTTCATTGATGCGTTTACATTTGTTAGTCGAGGTTTAATTTTTACAAGCAGAAATTACTAAAATACTTGTTTTTCACATGTAAATTTAACTTGCAGTAAAGGTTCAGTAAAGAAAAAAAATCAACATGTGAAATTATAAAGCAAGTAGAGAAATTGCTTCTCTCACTTGTGCACACACACACACAACACAAACACACATAGATTGTTTGTCTTGTTTTGCTTGTGAAGCTGAAGCCATGCTCAGAGCAGAAGCATGTGTTATCGCAGTCGTTACAGCATTTGCAGCAGCCTCAGCATCATCAAGGCGTGTAGGCAGGCGGTGGCTGGAATTGGTTGCTGATGTCATAGTCAGGAGGGAAGGTCTCACTACTGTCCTCACAGCAGCTCCAGTGCCTGCTCCTCCTCCTCACTGGGGTAGTGACGCAGCAAGTTGGCAGCTGTGGCCAGGATGGAGGCTCCTCCTGCTCCAGCAACCAGGTAGAAGCTGATGGCAAAAGTGACGTAGATCAAGGAACCATGGAACTTCTTGTGCTGCTGCTGCAGAGAGAGGATGAGTTCTGACGCCCAGTAACAGAAACCAATTACTGTGGCGCACTGTAACACTGAGGAAAGAAAGAAAAAAAAAAAAGGAAATCACATCTTTAAAGGTCAAAGCCAAGTGTTTTTCTTTAGACAAGTTAGAATAATACATGGTTAAAGGTATTACAGACAACAACAGAACTAAAAAACGAAACACATTTTTTAACACTTCTGATATGAAGACCTGTGCAGTATTTAAGTTATCTGTTACTACTACAGAATTAAACTTAAAAACATGTCTATGTCATTATTTGTTTCATGAACAGGCCTGTTGTTAAGATGTTGTAAATACATTTATTCAATCTTTACAATATAGTCATTGTATTAAGTTTCCATATCAATTTATACTGTTATTTAATTATGTTATTATGCTGTACTAAAAGGGAAAGTGCTGAAGACAGGTGTGCATGCTGGTGGATTACATAACAGTATGATATGGACAGCACTGAATGGTACCAACTCTTATACTTGGAGATAGAGACAGGACACAGAACCGGCCAGAACTGGTTTCTTTGCCCAAAGAAGGAGAGCGTCAGAAGACCAACAAAAGACAAAGAGAGAAAAACAGCCGAACCGCATGGTCTTATCTGACTTGATTAACTACAGCACATGCACATAGCTCCTATTGGTGGAGAATCCTTGTTTGGAGCAGTCTTTACCAATCAGTGCTCAGAAGTGGCGCGTGAACACCGCATGGCTGTGGAATACCAAGGTACTGACCATTGAAGTGTGTGTGTAAAAAAAACTGTATTTAAGCTTTGAGCACTGAGGGGTTCCTCAGTGCAGTTCTGAATGTAACCATTGTTCTGCACTCCTTGCTGCAAGTAAAACTTTTAAAACTTTGAGATCTTGTATTTGATTCTTTATTTGATTATTTGTGTTAGCAAACTGGGGTAAGAACTAACAGCATATTTTACAGTCCTATCTAACAGAAAAAGTTTCCTGACACCTGTTCCAATAAAAATCTCCAAAAATAAATAAATAAAACATATTACTACCTGTAAGAATATGGGCAAATGCATATCTTCGTGTAATCTTCAGTGCAGGGTGTTTGGGTCCAAACACATCAAGCAAGAATGCTGTCAGGCTGCAAAGAATTCCCAGGAAACAGAAGGCAGCAATGACCCGGAGCAGCAGTACCGTTTGAGGGTTCACACAGTAATCTGAGAGAAGGAAATATTATGGAGAATTACATTTGAGTGCAAATCCCAACAAAGATGACATGAAACACCCACATTAGCAGCATAGGCTTTTTATTTTGTTACATTTGTTATCATTTACAGCAATACATTACTTAAAAAAGCTTCATACAAACATGTGTACTGTTATTATTATTATTATTATTATTATTATTAATATGGACTCAAAACTCTTTGCAGGATAATGTGAGCAGCTTACCGTCCAGCAGTTTAGGGTCAATGTAGCCCAGGACGTCTGAAACACCTAACTCCTGCTTGTGACATGTTCCTCCATGAATGAGGAGCCAAGCAGGTTCAGCCAATGCTGTACACAAAGCAGTGATAGAGAGGGCTCCAGGCAGAGCTGAGACCAGGCTGCGCTCTGGCTGTTTGGGTAGAGCAGTCCCTGCTCTCCTCCTTCGAGCTCCAGGAGCAGCAGTAGATGCTGGAGTGTACATGCTAGTTTACTGCACATTATACCATTAGAAAAATGTGAGAGAGCTGAACTCTATTTACCCCATCACTGCCCCCAACACTGGAAATGTACAATTACTGCTACAAAATGACAAATGTATGAGACAAGGGGGACACTGTACGCTTCCAGTTTGGACAGCATGGTACATGGAAAGTTAAGATGTATTCATAATAAAGACTGATTGATTTAGTGAATAAATCTGCCTATTCTAATCTAAAAACATACCAAAGATGACATTATTTATGTTGACTTTTTTGTGTATATTGTATATTGATACTTTATACAGGAAGAAGCATTATCACATTGTCATGACACAACACACCATTGCACACAACAAAATCTGTGAGATATATATATACACACACACACGTACATATTTAATATAATAATATATGTAAAATAATAAAATATAAAAAGTTATAGAGCTGTTTTTCAGGAAAGTATATTTTAATCATTCTAAATTTAGCCTAAACGTTTATGAATATCGTTCAACTATTTTACTCATATAACAGCCGTGTGTGGATCAATGAGAGTACGTATGTTTATAACAAGTCGTATGAAAACGCAATATCGGTGTTGCATTTTTGATAAGGCACAGCAAATTTCCGACTCCCCTGTGGTTAATTTCAAAATCATATCGATAAATGCGACTTTCTCACCTTCTCCTCCGTCCTGTTGTCTTGTGTGTCTTTTGTTTTTGTTGTCACTGATGGACTTGCATGAAAATCCTCCTTTTATTCTCATATAATGTAGATGTTATAAATACAGATTGATCCGCTGCGCTAACGATGCGAAATTGTCAGCGGAATAATTTTTAACCCCCCTTTTCTCCTTGAAATACTATAAGTTTAGGATATTTTACTGCCAGAAACACAACCGACTGTCTGACAGGTGTTTTCTTTTATTTTTAAACGGTCTCCAGGCCTCTGTTTTGTTCTTAGCCTCTAAAGCTAATACACAGCTAACCCCGGATTTACGACACAGCTAGTCACAAAAAAATAACTTAACACGAACTTACATAATAAAGCAAAACATTATTGTTCACCGAACAGTGTCACATAATATTAGAGTTACTGTTAAGGTACGGTTTAAAAAAGAAGAGGAATAGAAAACAAAAGAATAGGGGGCTAATTTCGCCGATTTCCGGTAAAAAACAAACAAACAAACAAACAAAAAAACCACAAGTTCCGTGTTTGTCCTGTGCCCGTGCAACTATGCTACTACTTCCTGCTATGTTTCAAATTGTAAAAAAACAAAACAGTTGTTGTGGTGTGACAGAAATATGTTGTTATTTTACATATCAACAATGTTAAAGATTTTTTTTACCAGTATAAAACCATTTTATCATTAACTCACAACAATGTGATTTAAAGATTTGGGAAATAATTGGGATTTGAAAAATTCCCAATTGAAGATGGTAAAATAAGATCTTTTTTTCAAATAAAGAATTTAAAAAATAGACATTTATAGACGTGCTTTGTCTGGAACTAACCTACATTGTGACTCTGCGGCGTACCCAGCAGGCGGAAACAAAAAGCGAGTACGTTGTTTCTCGTCGGACTCTGTATAAAATCAGTGGTGTTGTTTTGATTTTGTCAGTTGCGTGAGTTCGTTTTTTAAATTTAATCCCCTCTTCACAATGCCTGTCGAAAGTTTAAGATGGAAAACGTTAGAGGCGTTAAAAAATTATCCAAAGGGAAAAATCACATTCGACCCGCATTGGTTCCAACGATACCAGGCGGGTGTTTTAACCCAGTATGTTAGCGGTTTAGCTAAAAGGTGGAGGGTTAATGTCAGCCAAGATAAAATATTGGCGTGTGTTTCTGTTAAGATAAATTAAGGAACTAGCCAAATGTTGTTTATAGCATCTACATTTCCAAACATAGATGTAGGGCTTTAAAATGTTTGGTCTTGGAAATTTACTGTAAATACCTTGTTTTCTTTTTCTTGTAGCAGATTATGACTGGCTGTAAAGAGGCTTTAAGTTTGTCCTCTCACTCACACTGATTTCAACAGAAAGCTTAACCTGCTTTCTACAGACTAATCTTTGAGTTTTGAACACATGCAAGTGAGAGTGTACAATCAGTCTCACAGACTGATGTTTCTCAGTTTTTAACATAATGTAACTGAAAACTTATTGGCTCACAGTTAGATAAAGATGAAGATGAAGGTCCAGACGTGGTCATCAGTGAAGTGTCAAGTTCCGTGTCTGGACCCACAATTTCTCTGCTATCTCCTAAAGCTGTGGAGATGGCTGGACGCATTATTAGGTGTGAGGAGGAACATCGAGAAAAGGCCAAGGTCAGACAAAATGATGGCTGTGTGTATGTGAATAATGACTATACCCCGACGGTTAACTCTTCTTCTTCTTTTTTCTTCTTCTTTCCTTTAGGCTTGTCCCTTTTTTCAGGGGTTGCCACAGCGAATCATTGTTTTCCATCTCTCCCTGTTCTCTGCATCTTCTACTCTGACTCCAACTATCTGCATGTCCCCCTCACTGCATCCATAAATCTCCTCTTTGGCTTTCCTCTTTGTCTCCTACCTGGTCGTTCTTTCTTTAGCATTCTTCTACCAATGTATCCACTGTCCCTCCTCTGCACATGTCCAAACCATCTCAGTCACACACTGTATGGTCTGATCATCGAACACGACCAGAGAGCTCACACTGCGGGTGAAAACGGCCCGTCGGCCTGTCCTGTCTATTGACAGCTGTCAATAAAGATTTATGTGAAAGCTCTGAGGCGCATCTGGAGTCGGAGGTGGCTCAATAAACGTGTACACTACGTTTATTGTTTATTTATTACGTTTATTGTGGACAGTGCCAAAGCTCTATCAATCTTGCCATATTTTCATGCCACCGACGCCTCGCCATGGTTACTATCACTTTGCGCAGGTGCACTTAGGGAGAAATGCTCCGGTCGGCTCGGGTGTATGCCCGCCACACTGTACAATTCTAACCTGTTTTTGACCAGATTTTTGAGACGCACGACCTGGAGACGCACCGCCCGATTTCCCGTTTCGTCGGGCGTCTTTTTCCGTACAGTGTACAGGGGGTAAGGAGGGCCGATTTTCTGTTCCCGAACCACCGTTGGACGGTCGGATGAATTTCTGACATGTCAGAAATTTTGGTCGGCCGACAAACTCTTTCGCGCAGTTGAAGCAGAGCCCCGCGCCGAC